GCAAAAGTATTGATCGAAGCACCAAGTGTCACAGAAAAAAACACGTGCGTTCAGTGCCAGTATGAAGAAATAAAAAATATTTCGATAGCCGAGATTAATACAAAACCAATTCTTACGCATGGTCTACACAACGGATTGCAAAAATCTATAGATCTATTTTTCAATAAAGAAATCCTATGCAAAAATTGCGGTAATAAAGTACTCTGTGAAATAAATCCAGAGGCGCATTTTTTAATAGATGTCGAACATGCATATCATAGCACACTATTAGCTGAAATAGGATTTTTAAATGCACCTAAGCAAATACCGCTATCAGAAGTCCCACCGCATCTATACATAAAAAATCAAAAATATCAATTAATAGGATTAATTTCGTACAATGGTTCTACCGAACAACAAGCATTAGGCCATTATATTACTTATTGCCACAGAATTACGTACGCAGGCACATGGGAAGAATATGACAATCTTCGAAATAAGTATGTGTCATTGCAGTCAACAACAGCGACTCGTACACATGTAACACCGAACGTCCTAGCGTAAATAAAGTTAAATACGTAACAATTCTATCCACTCTATTAATAAAAACATCTAATAAACCGGATAAAGTAAATTAACACAAACTGCACACGCACGAATTTGCTGCAATACATATATATACACAGAAAATTTTTAACTTACTTACACACACACATATACGCGCTTCCACTATCTATTGCATGTACACGTATACACACCCGTGCACACACTGCACACACACGCACGCACGCACGCACGCACGCACGCACGCACGCACGCACGCACGCACGCACACAGAAGCGTAAAACCGACCGCGCAACCTCCACGTGGTACGCTTTGGATAATGCTAATGCCGGCGGCAGAGAAAAGAATGAGAGAGACCACGCCGCCGTTTTTCGTCAAACGCTTTTTCTAGGCTGCTCACTAGCGTCACGTACATCCATTTTACGAGCGTCTGGAACTACATGGCCACATCCACTTTCGATGTCGGTAAAAGAGTCAAATTTAGTTCATGTCCGTGCTACATCCACAATTGATAGACCAGAATACGACGAAGATCAGAGTTCAAGACCATATGTTTTCTTTTTTTTTTTTTAATAAATCAGAATTATAAATGAATAAAAAATAAGAAATAATAAATCAATTGTATTTATAAAAGATTTTCAATAATTTTATATTCATTTACAAAAATAACATCCCTGAAAATTAAATTGATTGCACAAAAAATATAAAAAATAAGAAAATAAATATTGAAAATAAAATAAATATATTTGTATAAAAATAACAAAAAATTAACATAATATTATAAAATAAAAATAATAAAAAAAATAAAACTTATGGAAAATAATTTATCATAAAAAAAATTCTAATAATATATATTTAAATAAAATTAAATGAATAATTGGATAAAGTTCCGAATAGGTGAACCCTCCGATTTTTTTGAAACTACACTATTTTTGTATTTTTGAACACTGATTACGAATATGATAATGAAAATTTGCGACTAGGTCATTTTCAAGGTCAAAACTCAAAAAAATTGACAAAAATATAACTTTTTAGACATTATTTTGATAAATATTAATGTAAGAAAAAAATGTTTCAAATAAAAGTTGTAGTTCTTGTAAAAATACATCATTTATGTCCTATAAATTTTTTGCGTAAAACTGATAGTTTTCGAAAAAAATTAGATAAGAAAAACCCTCTCAAACATTAATATATTCTTCGTTCTCAGCCGAACCCGGAGTCAACGACGAGGACGTGACGAAGAACTGACTCCATTTTTTTGTTTTTATAATTTTTATATTTTTTTATAATTTTTTATAATTTTAATATTTTTTATAATTTTTTTATATTTTTTGTATTTTTTTTACATTTTTAATTGTTTTTTTTAACGCTTTTTTATTTTTCAAAACTATTTATAAAACGCTAAATATATTACTCCTTTCCCGGATAACATCTTTTAATATCGATAATCAATTGCTTGAAAGGATCTTGACCCAATCGTCGAAGTCGACGACGCCACATAAATTCACACAAATGATCAGCGATAGAACTCTTTTGAACACCACCGCGAGATAATTCACGACGCATCCAGCGCCAGGACGACTCAATATTCTGAGTGTGAGCATCAGTTTCCGGATCTACAAAAAATTCAGAATGATTCACCGTCTTGTGGACATATCCATGATGTTCCAAATCTATATATCCCTTCCAACAATCCGTATGGATCTCAGTCCCAGGCATCACATGTTTTTTTATTAAAGCTACAAGAGTATCTTTGTCTCTCTTGTTGTCCGGGCAAATTTCGAGCCGATAATTAGTAGCATGTCCACGGTGAATCATTCCGAGAATCCATGATCCCTCAACAACACGTCCTCGTTCGTACTTCCGACGACCAATCTTACACTCGTCAATTTCTATGATTCCACCTCCCAAAAGACCCTCTTCCTGAAACTCCTCATCAAGTGCAGCCATGCAGACTTCTCGACAAAAAGAAAATCTATCGGCTACAGTTTCACGAGATATATACTGCCCATCAATAATACTGCTTCCTCGAATCGTTTGATTAAACGACATATTGACAGAAAAACAGTACGTTATGAGAATACATGCCGCAGGAGAAATATGACACCTCTCGAACCATGTATCCTCTGCAACAGTCGCAGTATGTCGATACTTTCCTTTTTTCATACAAAGGAATCTTCCGCATTCAAGATCAGATTCTAGCAAATTCATGTATTTTTTATGATGACTGCAGAACCTTTGTGTTGGAATCAAACCAACTTCTCTCAACCACTGAAGAGTTGATGAACGATTTTGAAAAATAGACGCCAATAAAAACAAATTGTATGTTTTATCCATTTTTTTCGTAACAAAAAAAATTAAAAGAAACAACCTTATTAATTAGGCTCCAAAACTTTTATTCGAAATTTACGCTTTGCATATAAGTCGCAAAACTATATAAAACTATCTATAATTATAAACCTAGTTTTGCATCCGAAGCACAGAACAATAAGAGGTAGACCTTACTTTGCAAGAAAAGTCGCAAACCCATGTAAAGCAGTGTAATAATAAATTTTGCATCAAACGATGGATGATAAGCATTGCTTTGCATGAAAAGTCGCAAGATATGTGCGCGCAAAGAGTTTATATTTATTAAATCTTTACCTTACTAAAAATATGATGAGTCAACAATATATTAAAAGTATTAGGTACAGAAAATATTAGCAAGACCCCTACGCAACGAAAAATGTATCATGAATCAAAACTAGATAAATAGGTTTCCGTGGAATCTCGCTTCCCATGGAAAAGTGTTTGCGTGGAACCTCGCTCTGCGTGGACAGTTGCAAATCCACGTAGAACCTCGCTTCGCATGGAAAAGTGTATGCGTGGAATCAGTGGGTTCCACCCTCCTGCGGGGGGCTCCACTACCGTAAAACTAGACAAATAGGTTTGCGTGGAACCTCGCTCTGCGTGGAAAGTTGCAAACCCATGTGGAATCTCGCTTCGCGTGGAAAAGTATATGCGTGGAATCAGTGGGTTCCGCCCCCCTGCGGGGGGCTCCACTACCGTAAAACTAGACAAATAGGTTTGCGTGGAACCTCGCTCTGCGTGGAAAGTTGCAAACCCAAGTGGAATCTCGCTTCGCGTGGAAAAGTGTATGCGTGGAAACAGTGCGTTCCGCCCCCCCTGCGAGGGGCTCCACTATCGAAAAACTAGACAAATAGGTTTGCGTGGAACCTCACTCTACGTGGAAAGTTGTAAACCTATGTAGAATCGTATATGTATTGCAAAGTACATGCTTAGATGGGAGAACAGATATAAGATTTAGATTTCATCGTTTTTGTTGAAAACTATCATTCGTACGGTAAAAATTAATAGGACGTAAAATGTTTTTCTCTGTAAGATCTAAAACTTTTGTCTAAAATATTTATCATGATTTGTCGTATTTACTAAAATAACTGTTAAAAACTATAATTTTTATGGGTTTTTCTTGATTTTCACTATGAAAATGAAAGGTGCGCCAATTTTCACTATAATGTTCGTAATCAGTGCATCAAAATACGTAAGAATACTGAGTTTCAAAAAATCAGAGAAGAGCACTTTTTGGAACTTTACCCGCCGTTTTTAGTCTTTAACATCGATTTTCTCAAAAACTTTCAGTTTTACGCAAAAAATGTATATGGCATAAATGATGTATTTTTACAAGAACTACAACTTTTATTTGAAACATTTTTTTCTTACATTAATATTTAACAAAATAATGTCTAAAAAATTATATTTTTGTCAGTTTTTTTGAGTTTTGACCTTGAAAATGACCTAGTCGCAAATTTTCATTATCATATTCGTAATCAGCGTTCAAAAATACAAAAAATAGTGTAGTTTCAAAAAAATCGGAGGGTTCACCTATTCGGAACTCCACCCGAATAATTAAATATACTTTGAACTTTAAATTATACAAAAATTGTTATATAATATAATATATGTATATTAATATTTTTTATTTAATACATATACCACGTGTACAAAAATGTATATATATATATATATATATATATATATATATATAAGGTGTCCCGAATTTTGCGAATTAAAGTACCATAGAAAGAAAGTTTCTCGAAAAAGTAAATTAAGAAAATTGCATGGCAAAATAAATGCTCGTGTACAGATATACACATGCGCATACGCATACACACACTTCGATATTGAGATATCCGTAAGAATCTGTAAGAATTTTCGGAAAGAACATCTGAATGTGTGGTAGGGTAGAGGAGGGAAGAGATCATATTGCGAGCAATTGCGAGTCGACGTATCATTCGCTATCTTGATAACCTCGTGAGAGAAGTATACGCGCTGTTTTGTGTTAGTCGTGCTTCACGATTGTCCGTAAAGGATTTTACACGCAAAATTATCTGTAAAGGATTTTTTGTGTTTGTGTGCGAAGTGCGTTGTTCTGATAAGTGCAAAATTGTTTACGTTTCAATAATATTATAAAAATAACAATAGTTATAAAAAATAAAGAAAAATGTCTAATCAGTGCCGTTTAGATACTTTTTACGATAAGTGCATGTATAAAAACTGTACGAGTTCAAGATCTCTAGGAAAACGTTTATATAGATTCCCATTGCAGACTGATAACAGATATCATTTATGGATAAGCAACAGCGGTAAATTTTTTATATCATCTTTAATTACATATTCTGCTATATTTTGTACTTGCATTTTTTATTTCTATTCAATTTTGTTTTACTTATATTCAGTTTGTTTTAATAATACAATCATAAGTATCAGAAAATTATAGAACATAAAGTTTATTTTTATATTCTATAAAAAATGTTATATTCTTTTTTTATATATTTTAATATTTAACTCTAGAATAAATATTTAATTTTTTTTATTATTTCGTGATAAATTCCTTTTCTTTCCTTTAAACTGAATAAATAAATAATTGATACTGCTCTTTATATTGCCTACTTTAAAGCTCTTTTGCACTGCCTTTTACTAAATTTAGACTAAGACAACGATAATAAATAAAAATAAACTAAAATAAATGTAACCTTAATTAAAATAGATCTCAATAATTAAACATTTAATTATTTCGTGATATAATTATGTGCATTTATTTATTGTACTATTATCTGCAACTCGTGATATCTAATTATTTAAAGGTTTTATATGAAATATTCTACAATATATTTTGTATTAATTGATAAATAAATAATGTATTATTTTATATAATTTATATTAAATATGTTTGAGTAAGATTCATTTTGTTTTTGAGATGATATTTTGTATTTATTCACGAATTTCTGCAATTTATTCACACTAATTGCGCGTGTGCGTATACGACTTTTATTTTTGATGTTTAATATAAAACAAATATTATTGTACATAATATAGTTATTTAACATCAAACATAAACATTATACAGAATCGATTACTAAATCTATTAACACACAGTATCTGCATTAATTATACATATGTTACAGAATATTCTTTTTGTAATTTGCCTACAAAATTTGAGATAAGTTTTGGACAAAATTTTCGAATTAATTTCAAATATATAAATTGAATTTTTATGCTCTTGTTTATGATGTTTATGAAAAGTATTAATTTAATTTATTAATATTATTTTATACAATTAATGTTATTATTTTTACAATTATTATTTTACAATATTATTTTATCAAATTAATTTTTTATTTTTTAATATTTCTATCAAAAGATTTTTAAATAAAATTAAGAACAAAAAAAGTGAAACAATATTGTGTTAAGGCTGTCTTTTTATTGCTCGCGATCTATCGCGCTTGAATTTAATCAGTACTGCGCGTGCGTGACTGACAAAATTATCGGCAACAGTGCGGACATGCTAGCATGCGTAAGTACATGTGCTTCAGTTGTTCAGTTGACGTGAGTCCGTGCCGTCCGTGGTCCGTGTCAGTCCTCAGTCAGTGAGCCTGGTCGGTCTGACAAAATTTGTCTGTTGGGTCATATTGCGATAGTAAGTACGCAACACATATCTAAAAATATTTTTTAATTTTTATGATATAAAAGTTTCACGTCGTGTGGTATAATCTAATGTTAGAATAGTAATTATAGAATTAATATTATAATTTTGAGTAATATTTATAAAAGAAAGCGACAATGAGATAAAAATAAGAGCGAATGAGATAAAACAATATTTTACGAAATCTATTACGTTTCATTCTTTTCGGTTAATAGCCTTCAGATTTGCTTGCTCAAGGAATTACTCGTGATCTTTTATCGAGATACAAGATAATAACATTTTGTAACACTAATTTTTGTAAAACTCTACTAATACTAATGTTTTAATAAATATATTTAATTTTATATAATAATTGCTCGTCAAAGGCCTTATTTAAGATACCGTTAAGATAATAACGTTAAAATCAGAACTCTTTCGAACGAGCGAGCAAGCTTCGATGAAATTTCTATATTCGGAATCTTTTTTCAGCGAGTAGTGTCTCGATATCGAAACATATCTCCTTCTCTCTCACTTTCTATTTATCTTTTTTTTCATTTTCCGACAACCGGCATCCCTGTTTTAAGTATTTATATACAGTATATTTTTTACAATTTTTTTTCAGGAAACTGGAGAGAGAATATTGGAATTCTCTCCGTTGACAAAACAAGTAACACCGATGATGACATCGTTGATGCCGATATCAACGATGTCGGCAGAAACTGTGTCAACAGTGGCATCGGTGACATCGGCATCAACGATGTCATCAACTATGATGTCGGCGGAGGCATCGACATCGACACCGGCATTGGCACCGGCATCGGCATTGACACCGGCGCTAGCACTGGCACCAGTATCAGCACTAGCACTGACATCGGCACCGGCGTCGACATCAATAGAAATACCGGCACCAGAGAAGGCACCGGTACCAGCGTCAACGGAGGCGTCAGCGCTAATAGCATTAAGTGTAAGTTACACATTTTATATAAATACAATTTATATTAAATATAAAATTAATCATATATACAGAATTGTATTTTACATACAATATTATTAGAAAAAATGCAAAATAATCCTTTTAAAACATTTTTTATTAAGTCATTTTATTATCTTTCCGGTTTTAATATAACTTATTATTATTTAATATAATTGTTATATTTATTTTTGTTATATATATATATAATGTAAAAAAATTAATCTTTTTAAAATAATTATTACAATTATTACAATTTATTACGTTTTTATTATTATTTACTATATTATATTTACTTTTTTGTTTCAGAGAGAAGATTTAAAAGGTCTTATTGATGCAGCTGTACAATCTGCCATGAGAGGAGGACGAGGAGGAAAAGGACGCGGGATACGAGGAAGCAGAGGAAGAAGAAGGGGAAGAGGAAGAGGACGAGGACATGGATATCAAAGAACAGGGATTAATATTAATAATTATTATACTGCTCCTAAAACATAAAACTATATATATATACATATAACTCGCTACTTTATCACAGATTTTGTTACAACTATTAGATTTATATAAAACACTAATAAAATGTAATAAAATTTACCTTGGTCCATTCTTTAGCTGATTTACACGGCCCACATCCAGCTGTATTTAATATTTCCGTTAATTTTTCCCACAGTTCATCCTATAAACGTTAGAAGTTATTAATCGCAATATCCATTAAATATTATTTTAAGCCATATTACTAAACAAATAAAGTATAAAAAATGTTTAAAACTCATTTAAAACTTATTTTCAAAGATATTTTAAAAATGTGAAAATATTTGGTTCTCCTTTTATTCATTAAAAGAACGTTTATTTTAACGTCAATGTAATATAAATATTTATTTAACGTTTATTAAATATTTATTTTGTTAATATTTTTTGTTAATATTTTATTAATAAAATATTAAATATTTAATAAACCTTAAATAAATATTTATATTACAGTAATGTTAAAATAAATGTTTTTTTTTAATTTTAAAAGAAGGGACTTAATCAATTTTTTCACATTTTTAAAATATCTGAAAATGAGTTCTAAACATTTTGTTTGCTATATTTGTTTGTTACTTAGGAATATTAGTAAAAATATAATAAGGATAAGATATAATAATGAAAATAAGCAAAAAATGGTAAGTATTATAAATAGTAATAATTATTTTCAACCATCCGTTAGTCATAATATTTTCCCTTTATTTTCTTTTGCTTAAAATAATTTTTCTTACACAAAACATAAAATACATAAAAAATAGTAAAAAGACATTGATAAATATAGGATGGTATTAGAATGGATAAAAAAATCGAAATGCTATTTTTTATCCATTCTAATACCATCCTATTTAATTATCTTATCTTATAAGATAAACACTTTAGAGATTGAATATTTCAAGTAAACTAATTGTAAGTAAATTTCACATTAATGCATATAGATGTTTAATCATGAATACTAAATAAGTACACAAGACGAACAGTGAGTGAGTGAGTGAGAATGAGAGAGTGTGTGTGTGTGTGCGTGTGTGTGTGAGAAAGAGAGAGAGAGAGAGAGAGAGAGAGAGAGAGAGAGAGAGAGTTAGCCAACATAACCCCGCACGCTGCCGATCATGAATGTACTAAATAAGTACACAAGACGAACAGTGAGTGAGTGAGTGAGAATGAGAGAGTGTGTGTGTGTGTGCGTGTGTGTGTGTGAGAAAGAGAGAGAGAGAGAAAGAGAGAGAGAGAGAGAGAGAGAGAGTTAGCCAACATAACCCCGCACGCTGCCGATATGGCGGAGCGCCACTATCGCCATCTGTTGTAAAACGTGCGAGATGGACAAAATTACCACTACATGCATCTTGCATGTGTTGTGTACGTGTGATATATGTGTGCGCATGTGTTGTATACGTGTGAATACGTGTAGCACGATACTACTATGTATGCGTGGTCGATGATGATAATGATGATGATAATGATGATAATGATGATAATGATGACGGGGACGTTTCTTAATAGAAATTTTTCATATTTCGACTTTGCATTTATATATCTCTGCTTACAAATCACGTAGAGCAGAAATAAAGACACTTTTATTATATAATTCGAACTCAATCTATCGATTAAGTCTAGTATAAACTCGATTGCTTCAGCCATTATTGAGGATTCGAAATATTATAAAGACTCAAATGTCCGACTCGCGTTAAGATACACGGTGTCTCCGCTACGCCCTTAACTGGTCGCGAGACACTACCGTGTCTCTTGATGCAATTAAATATCACACAGAATCCTCCAGAAAGATTCAAATATTCGCAGGAGTCGATCACGTGTACGCAGCGTGCACAATACGACGGCGAGTTCGTCGCGACGGCGTACTACGACAATTGTGAGAGAGAGCGCGGGAGAGAGAGAGAGAGAGAGAGAGAGAGAGAGAGACGAGCGAGAGAGAGAATGCACGACATGCATTCACCGATACGCGAATATCGCAGTGAATCTTCCAGCAGGATCCGAATACTCGTAATGTTCGATCACGTGCACGTAGCATGCACGAGACAATGGCGAATTCGTCGCGAGAACGTGTATGTTGCGTCGCGAACGAGATCCGATTACCCGTTAACTCTTCACTCTCGATATGTCACACAATACCGCGCAAATCTGTTCGTATTTGTCGCGATAATACATTCACGCACTTATTACACCGTAACGCGAATTCTTTGGTCTGACTTGCGACCAACGCCGGCTCTCTCTCCGCGACGACTGTCTCCGACGGAATGCTACCCTCATCGATCACGCTATCGACCGCCTGATCGCGAGGGGTACACGCGGAACGCGCTAATTGGCCGAAAATTTGCTTCCGCGGCGCTTCCCGCGGTGCGTGCCGCGAGGTGCTGCCGTGTTAGGCCCGCGGCAATTGCTTTTACCTAAATTCTCGACTGATCCGTGAATTTTCGTTCGATCGAGCGCGGCAAATTTTTCTCAATCCTAAACATACCGCCCGCCTCGAAATTTGAATTTCGAAACCACTCGATCTCGCGGTATACCTTACACAAGGATGCATCGTTCACTCCCGTGTGAGTGAGGTTTGCTAAATGAAAACTAATTGCGTGTGATTGTTCGTCACGATTGATCCCATGCAATATATAAGATACTGAGATGTAACTTCTGATTACGCTCAGATCGCACTAAAGTGAAATTGTAGACCTGAAACGGCTGACAATATTGACTTAAAGTTGACTTCTAAAGATCACTGTTGTTATCGCAGACGGATTTTAACATTTAACGCATATCGCGTAAACAACAGTATCCGCTGTTCGTACTAATTCGCACGACCTTAAACTTAGGATTGCAAGCGCCGCCCGCCTTGGCGACTTTACTTGCACGCTTTGACTTAACTAATGAACATAAACTTGACTTACTTGCTACATAAATTATAACGTAATTAGAATTAGAATCGTATAATTAACTTACACTAGAATTATCGTTAATTGCTTGACACTCGAGGCTGATCCTCGATGGAATCGTCAGAATCAACGTCGATTGGAAGCACACATAACTTAGTTATGGGACGCTTATATTCCGAGTTCGCTGTTTTGACGGAAACTACTCGAATTAATCCGTCAGAGCCTGGTTGACAGTGGATTACGCGTCCGAGTTCCCATTTGCAAGGAGGAAGAAGAGGATTTTGAATCAGAACCATGGAACCGATATGGATAAGTGACTTTGCCTTTCGCCACTTAGTTCGCTGTTGAAGCGTGTTAATATAGTCGGCGTGCCAATGCTTCCAAAAACGCTCCGTGATCTGTCGCAACTGCCACCGTGACAGTCTGTTTTCATTGATTTGCAGAACAGAAGGTTCTGGATTGATTGTGATTGCCGATCCAATCAAAAAGTGACCCGGAGTGAGAACTTCAAAATCGTCAATCGAATCAGTCAATGGACACAGGGGCCTTGAATTTAAGCATGCTTCAACTTTACAAAGCACGGTAGTAAGTTCCTCGAAAGTGAGGGTGTGATTTCCTAATATCCTACGAAGGTGGTATTTAACGCTTTTGACCCCTGCCTCCCACAATCCACCGAAGTGTGGAGCATGGGGAGGGATAAAACTCCATGTGATGTTATCTGACACGATGAAGTTGAGAAAGTTAACATCGCTTTGAGCGTCTCGATACGCTTGCGACAACTCCTTGTCTGCTCCTGCGAACGTAGTGCCATTGTCCGAGTACATGACCTCTGGTAATCCACGTCGCGCACAAAATCTTTGAAAAGCGTTAAGAAAGGCAGCAGTCGAGTAATCACTAACCAGTTCGAGATGAATAGCGCGTGTGGCTAAACAAATAAAGAGTGCTATGTAGGCCTTTCGCGAGGTAATTCCTCGGCCGGCTGAAGCACGTGTGAAGACTGGTCCGGCGTAGTCGACACCGCTATGTAGAAACGCTCGAGAGGGCGCCGAAACACGACTTGTAGGTAGCTGGCCCATCAGTTGACTAGCTACTTGAGCCTTTTCTCTTGTACACGGAACACATTTATAAATAACCGACCTTACTAGACTTCTTGCTCTCAAAATCCAAAACTCTTGTCTAAGTTTTGAAAGAGTGGATTGAAGACCGGCATGGAGAGATACAACATGCGTATAACGGATGATCATAGTAGTGATCGTATGGTTGGCTAATAAGATTGGATGCTTGGACTGGAAAGATAATGACGAGTGTTCTAATCGCCCCCCAACGCGAATTAGACCGTCAGAATCCAGGAACGGATTTAATGAGAGAATTGGACTGTGAGTAGGCAACGGTTTGTTTGACTTTAAATTATGGAGCTCGTTTTCGAATAGTTCTAACTGAATGAAGTTCAGCCAGAAGTTTCGTGCTTCGTTGAATTCAACTGTAGTAAGAGCGTGATATTGAGACTTGTTGTTCGATCCTATTGTGTGTTTCTTTCTACACTTCCTTATGAAACGGTAAATGTAGGCGGTAATACGTATTAATTTCGGCCACCATGAATATCGAGTAGTGAGATTCCACGGTTCATTAGCGTTCACTTGATGCACTTGACACGATTTTTCTTCTAACTGTGTTTCGTCTATCGGCGTTATTGTGAATGTGGGCCAATCATCCTGCTTAAGACTCAACCATGAAGGTCCGCGCCACCAAATGTCGAAGGCGCTCAATTCTGTGCCGAGTAAACCGCGAGATGCACAGTCAGCGGGATTTTCATGTGTACTGACATGATGCCAAATGCCATCAGATACTCGTGTTTGAATCTCTGTTACGCGATGCGAGACGAAAGTTTTCCAATGAGATGGGTGCTTGTTTAACAAGCACAATACTCGAATCTGTCCAACAATGGACTGGCATTTTCGTGAAATGAAGAGATTTTCTGATGAATTCAATTAGGCGCGCTAATAAGACCGCAGCTGACAATTCTAATCGAGGGATTGTCAGCGGTTTGATAGGCGCGACTTTGGATCGCCCAGCGAGGAGCGAAACAGTTGTATGACCGGATAATGTTGTGACTCTCAAAAAAACTACTGCGGCGTAAGCTACTTGGGAAGCATCCGCGAAACCGTGTAACTCGATGCTCTTGGTATCTGAATCGCATCCAATCCAGCGACTAAGTTTTATGCTTTTGATGTAAGGAAGTGATTTATAAATCACGCTCCATTGTAAAAGGAGATCTTCTGAGAGATTGTCGTCCCAGCCTACTTTGTGTCGCCATAATTTCTGCATAAAAACTTTCGCTTTGAGAACCACGGGTGTGACCCATCCAAGTGGATCGAATATTCTGGCTATGGTAGAGAGAATCGTTCGTTTTGTAGAAGGGAGAGTCTGTGGTAATTCAATTTGAAACTGGAAACAATCGTGCGTCGGATTCCAAAAAATACCGAGAACCTTCAGATTGTTGTCAGTCTCGAATAATTTAAGCTGTGCGAGCCCGTGATGATCCGATGAAATATCTGAGAGCAACTCCGGTTTGTTACTCGCCCATTTGCGAAGATCGAATCCACCGCGTTTCAACAATTTGCAAACTTGATCTCGAGTCTGTTTAAGGAGAGGCATATCTTCGGCCCCAAACAGCACGTCGTCCACATAGACGTTCTCGCTTAAAACCGCAGATGCTAGTGGAAACGAGCTTCCTTCCTCATCGTTTAACTGATTAATGACTCGAAGAGCTAAAAACGGTGCGGAAGCCGTACCGTATGTTACCGTAAGGAGTTGATGTTCTTGAATATTCGAATTTTCATCTATCCATAGGATGCGTTGATAATCTCTATCTCGCGAGTCGACCAATATTTGTCTATACATTTTCGCTATGTCTGCGGAGTAAACGTATTTGTGCTGTCGCCAACGTAATAAAACCGATTGCAGATCTAACTGTAGTTTAGGCCCAGTAAACATGTGAGAATTGAGCGAGGTACCGTTAGAGGTTGTGCATGAGGCGTCAAATACGACTCTCAACCGAGTTGTCGAACTAGTCTCTCGAATGACCGGATGATGAGGGATGTACACGACTTGTGAATTTACTGAATCCACCGGTGCGATTACTTTCATATGATTCAACTGTGCGTATTCGCTCATGAACTCAGAATACTCCTGCTTAATCGCAGGTTGATTATTAATTCTCCGAAGTAACGACGAAAGCCGACGCGCGGCTATTTCGCGAGATTCACCGATTTCGATGGGTGGGCCGTTTCGAAACGGCAGACGCACGATATATCTCCCATCCGATGTTCTCGAATGCGTTTGTTTGAAATGTTCTTCGCATTGTTCGTCATCTGGAGACATTTCAATTGATTGAGGTGTTTCTTCTGCCTCCCAGAATTTAGACAATTGATTTTCGAGAGAACAACAATGAGCGACAACACTGTAACGTTGATTTAACTGAGCTGATTGCACGACGCGACTCGCATCCTCAACAGGCGGAATTACGAGAGTTGAAGTTACCACATGAGAGGGTTGTGTCACGTGATTCGGGATAGAGGTTGTTCCGGATAGGATCCATCCGAAATGCGATTCAATTGCACCTGGTTGACCGAGCGGTCCGTTACGTACGTGAACGAGTACGTGATTATATAAATCGGATCCTATTATGAGATCAATCGGTGTTGATCCGGTAGGATCATCGTCAGCCAATTCCAGATTGGAAATATGTTTCCAATCTTGCGATTGCGAAGCGTTTCTGGGAGCATACCTCGTTAATGCCTTCATAATATAGGCAACCGTTGTGAACCTTGGTTTCGATTTTTTGCGAGGAGTGATGTGAATCAGAGCCGCAGATCGGCATGTACCGGTGTCAGCGCAGCTTATTCCCGACGTTGAAGTAAGCGTTCGTATACGCTTGAGACGTAATATTTGAGCAACGCGCTCCGTCACAAACGTGAGCTCTGATCCACCGTCAATCAAGGCTCTGACAACCAATGAGCGTCCAGAAGGCGCCTGCAAATTCACCTTTGCAGTAGATAAGACAACAGGAGTCGGCGCAGTTGTCATTGTAACTGATGAGAGTGCCGTAACGTTAGGCACGTTGTCGATGACGTCATTCGCGTTTGACGTATTGTTCGCATTTGTAACTTGTTGCAATGAGTCCGAATCGAGATGAATCATAGAATGATGTCGTTTATTACATGTTCGACATGTGAAATTACTTTGACAATTGATCGACATGTGTTTATCACTCAAACAATTAAAACATCGTCGAAATTTCTTAACCAATTCGCGTCGCTGAATCGGACTCTTTGCTACAAATTGCGGACATTTTGAGAGAATGTGCGATTGCTTGCACATTGAACACACTATATTAGATGACGCAGTCGCTGTTGCGCTAGTCACTTTCGCATGTGACTTGGTCTTGTCGTTATCGCGAGGGTGAAGTTCCTCTAACGCGAGAGCACGCGACGAAATAAATTTTAATACTTCTTTGTATGTTGGCGGATTTTCGATATCGCTCGTTTTTAACTTCCACGCACGGCGCGTGGCGGGATCGAACTTCTGAGAGAGAAAATAAACTAACATGTCGCTGACTATATCGTCCGGCGAACGATTAAGACGTTGCAATGTTGAGATCGCTTGTTCGGCTTTATCGCGTAAGGCGTGAAGCTCGACAGCTGACTCACGAGTCATTTTCGGAAGATTATACAAATTCGAAATGTGAGTCTCAATTAATCGGCGCTTATTTTCAAAACGCGCTGTTAATGCTTTCCACGCAACCGAGAAGTTATCCGCGGTGACTTTAATACCTGATATCGCATCGCGAGCTGAGCCTGTTAAACTTGACACTAAAAAATGCATGCGACTGAAGTTCGATAATTCGCGATTGTCTATAATAAGCGATTGAAACCGATCGCGAAAAGTCTCCCACTCCTCAATCTTACCGGTGAACGGCGGCAATTTGATGGGAGGAAGATGTTTGACCGATAATGACGCAGAGTCTGTATGCGCGAACGAAGCGTTGAAAGAGGTTTCACGACTTACGACTGGAACCAGCTCCTCCAAGCACTCGTTCATGTAGTCCATAGCTGCCTGATAGAGGTCCTCGTGGAAGGCGAAGGTCTCCTTTTTGAAGTAGTGAATTGAAACTTGCTTCTCGTCAGGAACAAGCTGCAGCAGTGTCGCGTGATTGCGTACACATTGTGTCCACGTGTCTTGTAAGCTCGTCATTCGCGAGCGAATTTTGGCGGCCGTCAGATTTGACCGACCGATCTTCTTAAAATTGTCGAGAGCTCGAGCAACTGAATAGCAAGCAGTTTGTTGATTTGCGAGAGCTTCTTCCATTTTGACACTGAATTTAATCAACTGAGGTTTCAACGACACTGAATTTAATCAAATTAGTCTTTTACGAACCGAGCTGTCACTCTCTTTGAATGCACTGATAGCGTTTGATGATGTCCGATTTTGAATGTACTTGCAATGTCACTGTGTTTTTTACTTGAGTTTTTCACTTTTCAATACGTCACCAATCTCAAATCCGGCTCGAAGGACCAAATGTTGGGAACGCGCGGCTTGAACCGTGGTCCGACGCGAAGCTGCGACGAACGAGCATGCTCGGCCTTTTTAGGGCCGCGTCTCGCGCGCCGCCTCTCAAATCCTTCACCCGTTTTTTTTTTTTTTATTGGAAAGAAATCATAGGAATCTCATGAGAGATGTGATGGATGGACAATAGGATAATTGTTGAGTGGACTGTATCTTAATAGGGTGATCGCGCACCCATGTGTGCGCTGAGATTGATGATTTACGTAGGAAGCCGAATTGAAAAGAAGTCTTGAAGTTGATGAACAAAAACAGATCAATTTATTATTTCACATGTCAGAAAGTCACCTGGACTTGACACAAACAAATCAAAGAAAAAAGAACAAAAACTCGATATGAGAATCGAAAGCGTTTGCTGTACACGTTTCGAAGCTCGCGATCACAAAAGAAAAAACTGTTTGTTCGATATCGACACCAATGTTTTTTGTCGCAAGAGAAAACAATGTCTTATTTGAAAGTCACGATCGCGAATCGTACAACAACAAATTTGTCCTCTTGTGGACGACCGTTATAATTTATCGAACACGCGCACATATGATTTGACGCGACTTAATAATTGTCTTCAATTATGTGACATTCAATCCTCCAGCAGGATCCGAATATTCGTAATGTTCGATCACGTGCATTTATATGCAATTAACTATCACACAGAATCCTCCAGAAAGATTCGAATATTCGCAGGAGTCGATCACGTGTACGCAGCGTGCACAATACGACGGCGAGTTCGTCGCGACGGCGTACTACGACAATTGTGAGAGAGAGCGCGGGAGAGAGAGAGAGAGAGAGAGAGAGAGAGAGAGAGAGAGAGAGAGAGAGAGAGAGAGAGACGAGAGAGAGAATGCACGACATGCATTCACCGATACGCGAATATCGCAGTGAATCCTCCAGCAGGATCCGAATACTCGTAATGTTCGATCACGTGCACGTAGCATGCACGAGACAATGGCGAATTCGTCGCGAGAACGTGTATGTTGCGTCGCGAACGAGATCCGATTACCCGTTAACTCTTCACTCTCGATATGTCACACAATACCGCGCAAATCTGTTCGTATTTGTCGCGATAATACATTCACGCACTTATTACACCGTAACGCGAATTCTTTGGTCTGACTTGCGACCAACGCCGGCTCTCTCTCCGCGACGACTGTCTCCGACGGAATGCTACCCTCATCGATCACGCTATCGACCGCCTGATCGCGAGGGGTACACGCGGAACGCGCTAATTGGCCGAAAATTTGCTTCCGCGGCGCTTCCCGCGGTGCGTGCCGCGAGGTGCTGCCGTGTTAGGCCCGCGGCAATTGCTTTTACCTAAATTCTCGACTGATCCGTGAATTTTCGTTCGATCCAGCGCGGCAAATTTTTCTCAATCCTAAACAATAATGAAAATAAGAAAAGAAAAAGTATGCAAATGGAACAAGTGCTTTATTTACAAGAAGAACAAAGTATAAAGAATATTGTATCAACATCTACTACATCATCTACGTCTACTGTTGTTAATGAAAATGTAATAGACGAGCATCCAGAATCACAAACTTTTGAACAACGAACAAATTCATTGCGATGCTATCAGCCACGACATTTAGATTTTAATTCTTCCATAGAAAATGAAGATATAATGGAATGGATGCACATTGAGCCATCTATGCATCAAAGAGTTCTTACGCCTCCTCCGTCTAATAATAATAATAATAATAATAATAACAATACAAATATAATAGAATCGGCGCATCTTGAGCCATCAATGCATGAAAGAGTTCTGTTTCCTCCGTGCAATAATACAAGAAGTACTAAAAATAGTACAGAAACAAATACAAAAAATGAAATAATACATAAGTTATGTGCAAAAGTTAAATATCTAAAATCTGAAAATATACGATTGCGAAGACAAGTAAGATATCTGAAATATCGTTTACGTCATATTCCACAAAAACGTAAAACGTCAAAAAAAGATAAACAAAAGAAAATAATATTAAACAAATTGGTAAACGAACAAGATCTAAATCCTGTTGCGAAGGCGATGATAAATTTGCAACTGCATAAACGCAATGCAGCATATACAGAAGAAGAGAAAAATCTGTCAAGACAACTATATTATTATTCACCTGCTGCTTTCTGCCGCTTAAGAAAAGCAGGTTGCAATTTTCCAGGGCAACGAACTATTAGAAGATGGCTGGAAGAATATGACGTACGGCCAGGATTTTGTGATTTTATTTTTCAAAAATTAAAGGAAAAGATTTCTTATTTACCAGTAGAGGAAAGAGTGTGTGCCTTAAAATGGGACGAAATGGCCATAAAACCTTATGAAAAATATTCGCAAAAATTAGATGAAATAGAAGGTCTTGTCGATCTTGGTCCTCTAGGAAGAAAATCAGAAAGATCTAAATGCGTATTTGTCTTTTGCCTAGACAGTTTAAATGCGCGTCACCCATGGCGACAGCCTTTAGCATATTTCCTTCCGGGAAAATGCATGAAAGCAGAAGAAATAATAATATTATTAAAAGAATGTTTAGACAGATTGAGTACAACGGGTGCTGATGTGCAACTTTTAACATGTGATCAAGGCACATGTAATCAAAGTGCGTATAGTGAACTCGGTATTGATGCACAGAGGCCATGTTTTATACATAATGGAAAAAAATATAACGCATCTTTTGATTTTCCTCATCTGGTAAAAAGATTGGCAAGTTTTCTTAGAACGCACAAAAACATTTATTGTGATGGAAAAATAATCGCATCGTATTCAGATTTTGAAATGACTTGGTATATTGACAATGCCACAAAAGGAGGCTCAAATTTATTATCCCATATAACAGAAGCACATATTCGTCCAAATAATTTCGAAGCGATGAATGTTAAAAGAGCTTTTCAATTATTTAGTCACACATTTGCAGCTGCAATAAGAACAGCTGGTAATGCAAAAGAATTAAATACGAGTACGTGGGAAGCTACAGCTGACTTTGCAACACGCTTAAATAATATTATTGATGCTTGTAACAGTTACAGCCTTAATATTACATTTGGCGGAAAACGACCATTATCCTTCAGAAATTCAGATATTGAAAATCTGTTAACAGATTCTATCGAATGGTGCTCAAGATGGTCAAAATCGGCGGAAAATCTAGTTCAAATTCTTTGTTTCAAAGGTTTTCCATTAACTATACGAGCTATTCTTGCAACTTATAAAAAACTTGCAAATCAATACGAAGGATTTGAACTTGCGACAGGATTGTGTAATCAGGATTCTGTCGAACATTTGTTTTCTAAATTGAGACAACGCGGAGGTTTTAATCCAAATCCAACCGCAAGAATGATCCGATTATCTATCAGACATATACTTTCCACAGGATATATTTAGACTAGCGACAAGGGCAATGTTCAATGTACAGAAAGTGTAACTCTTATTAATCGACCAAGTCGACTTGTTAAGACAATAGAAAATGTCATGAATACGAGCAATGCGACTGTAGAATATATTGAACATGAAAGTGAATTGCTTGACGAAGATGTTAGAATTCTTCTCGAAGAATATAATATCGAACAAATTGATAATATAAATCCGATTGATAGCAATTACAATGAAAATGCCATTGCATTTTTTGCCGGATTTGTGGCACGGCGAAGTATTGCTAAAAGTAACTGTGACGATTGCCGCAACGCAATGATGAAAACACCAATGGATGAACCTGCAGCAAATGAAAAATATATAGAATTTCGTGAATATCCAAATACAGATGAAGATGCTCCAACAGTAACAAAATTAGTACGACCAACAACTCTATACACAAATATTACTAAAACGCAATTAATGGCGTTTAATTGTACATGGCAAAGCCATTGGTCATCCACACAGATGCTTGAAAAAATAGTGATGGAATGTGTACATGCAACGAATCAAATTCATCCAGATTGGTTAGATAAAAATAACGAATGTTATAATCATCGGATGCAAGCATTAAAATACATGATTACTGTAAAAATATATTCCCGTACGAGATATAACAATCGTACTGCCAAAGTAGCTAGTGCATCATACAAAAAAGTTAAGAGGTTTATAAATAAATAAAAGTATATATAAGAAAAGTAAAAAATAAAGGATACTAAATGTAAGATCATCTTGAGCACTATTATATTAATTACAAATAAGAAAAAAATGATATGAAGAAAGAAAAACCACAAAGGTCTAAAATAATATCATTATTAATAATCCATTAAAAAAAAAAATATTTAAGAATTTTATATAAAATTTATTTAATAAATTTTATAAATATTTTATACATTTATTTATTAAATATTTCATATTTATATCTATTTTATATTATTTTATTATTAATTAATAGTAATTAATATTAATATATACATCTTATATTATTTTATATATATATAATAATATATAAATATTTATTAATTTTAATATTTAAAAAAATTAAGGTAAGGAATAGAAAAAACATAAAATAACGTGGAACGTAGTAAAAATTATCTAGAAAAAGAATTATTTTTTAATATGAGTATTTTCTATAAAATAATATAATTTCTTTATTTTGTAATTTTGAAAAAAATTTCTTCATTTTTTTATTGTTATATATATCTTGCATAATTTTGTCATTGAAAAGAAATATTTATACTGTGTATCATGAAATTACATTCATTAAAATATGTTTGCAAATCATGTTACATTTAGTAATGAGTATTATTTTCCTGTAATGAGAAAAATAAGCATGAATTTTTCAATTTCTTAGAAGATTGCAATCACAGTTGAAACAAATTACATAAATCGTTAACTAGCAGGTTTAATCACGGACTAAATAAAATATTTTTATGCAAACATGCTAAGAAATTGTAAAATCATGTATTTTCTGATTACTAATGACATATAACACGAGATATATATAATAATAAAATTTTAAGAAAGTACAGTAACACGGTACAATAAATGAAATCTATCGTATATGTATTTGTTGGCATACGGTATTCTAATATAATCATAGAAGATACATATGAATACCGTTAATAATATAGTATACAGTAAGTGATTTTGACAAATCACTTACAATAATAAGACGCCTTAACAGAAATAGATAACAAAAGACATCAAAATATATAACTGATTCTTTTAGTTATAGAAAATCTATATTATATGTAGATTTCCCGTGATAAGACCTGTTAGTTTGAGCGATTTATGTAATTATTTCAACTGTGATTGCAATCTTTACGTCATGCATATCTAAATGCCAACTAAAATACATATACACATATGTACCTAAATCTTTAATTACAATATATTATTAATTTTTTTAAACATGCATTCCACGTTAACATAATAAATATGATTAAATACAAATTATTTAACAATATCTTTTTTCACAAAATATATGTTTTATAATAATGAATACTTTTAATTACAGCTTTTTTTTTAGAGCGGAGGGTTTTTTAGTGGGTGAGAGTCCCACATACCCCCGTCGGACGGCCGATGGGAAATGCATAATGCATTTTTCCCTTCCTACAAAAAAAAAAAACTGATATATACAGGATTCCGAAATTCGCGAGTCAAAATAGTATAGCAAAAAAGTTCTTTAAAATAAATTAAAAAGTTTAAGCTATTTCTTATTCTAAACAATAAAATTTTTGAGGTAAAAAAATTTTAAATTGGCCAATTATAGATTACGATTTAATGGACACTTGAAGTGCGTAAAGTGCATGGTCACTACCCAAACAGCACACATATCCTAAAAACGTTCAGAGAACATCCTGAGGATGTTCGAATGTCCTCTGGATATCCTCTGAATATCTTTCGGATGTTGTGCTATTAGGATATAACATAATCGACTCACGGATAGGCGTCCGTTTAATCGTATTCTGTAATTGGCCAATTTTAAATCTTTTTACCTCAAAAAATACTGTTTGGAATGAAAAATGGTAAAAATTTTTTTAATTTACTTTTTCGAGAAACTTTCTTTTTATGGTACTTTAATTCGCAAAATTCGGGACACCTTATATATATATATATATATATATATATATATATATATATATATATATATATATATACATTTTTGTACACGTGGTATATATGTATTAAATAAAAAATATTAATATACATATATTATATTATATAACAATTTTTGTATAATTTAAAGTTCAAAGTATATTTAATTATTCATTTAAATTTATTTAAATATATATTATTAGAAATTTTTTTTATGATAAATTATTTTCCATAAGTTTTATTTTTTTTATTATTTTTATTTTATAATATTATGTTAATTTTTTGTTATTTTTATACAAATATATTTATTTTATTTTCAATATTTATTTTCTTATTTTTTATATTTTTTGTGCAATCAATTTAATTTTCAGGGATGTTATTTTTGTAAATGAATATAAAATTATTGAAAATATTTTATAAATACAATTGATTTATTATTTCTTATTTTTTATTCATTTATAATTCTGATTTATTAAAAAAAAAAAAAAAAAAAACATATGATCTTGAACTCTGATCTTCGTCGTATTCTGGTCTATCAATTGTGGATGTAGCACGGACATGAACTAAATTTGGCTCTTTTACCGACATCGAAAGTGGATGTGGCCATGTAGTTCCAGACGCTCGTAAAATGGATGTACGTGACGCTAGTGAGCAGCCTAGAAAAAGCGTTTGACGAAAAACGGCGGCGTGGCCTCTCTCATTCTTCTCTCTGCCGGCGGTATTAAATCTATCAATTATTATTTAAACCCACTTCTCTCGTTTTAAATTTGTTTACTCGTATTTGACATTTTACGGATTTTTAATTGTTTATAACTTTTAAACTAAGAGTGTGCAAACGAAAATTCGACCTGTTTCGAAATGTGCAAACGAAAATCTTTCGATTAATGCCATTTTGAACCCAATTCTCGCGTTTTAAACTTGTTTACTCGTATTTGACATTTTACGGATTTTTAATTGTTTATAACTTTTAAACTAAGAGTGTGCAAACGAAAATTCGACCTGTTTCGAAATGTGCAAACAAAAATCTTTCGATTAATGCCATTTTGAATCCAATTCTCGTGTTTTAAACTTGTTTACTCGTATTTGACATTTTACGGATTTTTAATTGTTTATAACTTTTAAACTAAGAGTGTGCAAACGAAAATTCGACCTATTTCGAAATGTGCAAACGAAAATCTTTCGATTAATGCCATTTTGAATCAAATTCTCGCGTTTTAAACTTGTTTACTCATATTTGACATTTTACGGATTTTTAATTGTTTATAACTTTTAAACTAAGGGTGTGCAAACAAAAATTTGACTTGTTTCGAAATGTGCAAACGAAAATCTATTGATTAAGTTATTTTGGATCAAATTTGCTCATATTGGGGGGGCTATTGTGAAATTGGCCCCCCCAAAATTGTTTTGGTTATAACTTTTTTATTAGAGGTGTGCAAACGAAAATTCGAAATGTGCATACATGTGCAAACAATGTGTAATCGAATGAGCTATAGAAAGTTAATTTTTTTTAATGTTGGGGGGCCAGCTTCACACGGGTTTCGTCGTTACCGATATACCGGGCTATAATTTGTCACAAAAGCCACTAAATACTATATTCTCCGCAGACAAAATAAAGCCGTGGATCAGGGCGCCTGAGCCTGAAGTGAAAGACGATACCGAACGCAACAACCTGTCGGAATAGCAACTCACCTCATTAAAATATAAGAAAACACGAAATAGGGCAAACAGATAAGAACAGGAAAAAAAAATCCTTTCTGAGCGTTAGAAATAAGTTATTGTCAACATTTAGAATAAATGCGTTAGTTTTTAAGTTAATCATATAGATTTGAAAAAAAAAAGAATATATAGTTCGAGGACGAACTAATTGTCAGAATGGCCGAAACTGTAGCAGAATAAGGTCGATAAGTAGATCTACAGTAATTACAAAAATCGCCGTAAGGAAAGCGAGAGCGTTCGAGTAGGGGATGAGTACGCAAATTGGAGAATTCGAAGGAGTATGGTTGTAGCGCGCAGAGAAAGTAGGCGTAGTATTTCAAAGTACTCAAGTAATGAAAAGATTAACGAGTGCAAACTATTGTGAGGCATAGGAACGCTAGTGAAGGTGCTGGGTGTTTGATACAAGCGAGCGTGCTTCGTGTGGGTGTCGAAATCCGCAAAAAAAGAAGTGTATCGAAAAACGGAGCACAACCGGCGAGCGTGTCGGAGCTGTTAGACAAGGGGCGTGCGTGCCTTCTGGAATAATTTCTCGTATAATAAACTTGCTTCCACTACTGTTAAATAAAAGTGTTGTGCAATATCCTGTGGGAGTGTCCTGTAAAACATTTCTTTCCCCCATTGGTATCCTACACTTTTATTATAAAGTCAAACTTTACATCGTAATATCTCTGTATATATAATACGTAGAGCAAAAGTAAAGACAGTTTTCTAATACAATTTAAACCCAAGCTATCGATTAAGTCTATCGAGAATACGATCAGTTCAATCCTTCTATGAGATCTGATAATATAAGATGCTGTCAAAAGTCCGACTCGCGTAAAGATACACGGAAGTACCTCACCACGATTTTGTGACTTGTCACGAGACACTACCGTGTCTCTTGATATTTTATTTTGATATATTTTTGACAAAAAATATGAAAAATCTCATAATATAATAATTTTTTGATAAACTTACCTTAATAACTTTTGCATAGAATAATGAAATAAATTGATTACAAGAAAAACATAGTTATTTAAAAAAGATAAAAATTTTAGTTACTTAAACATTGAAAATGTTATATTCAAGTGCAAGAAAAAGTATTATGAGAAAAACTAATATAATTCTTGCAATTTATTTTTAGAAATTTAATTTAAAAAAATTGTTATACATACTTAATAATTTTTATTTCGTCTTCTTAGCACATTTGTCTTCTAGTTCATATAATTTAAAATCAAGTTCTGCCATAGAATACGTCTAAAATGTTTACCAATATCATATTATATATAAAAACCAATATAATATAATTAAAGACGACAAATAGCAACTCAAAACACTATATAACTTATTATATGTATAAGATATACATATGTAGAAAATATTTAACAACACTTACTCTTTTTTGGAAACATGAACTACTCTTTAAGTTAGGGATATCCTCTGTTAGCTATAACAATTTAAAATCACATGTTACAATTATGGTATAATCAAAATTACTCAAAAAACAATTTTAATTAATAATTATTTTTTATAACATTTGATATATGCAAAATATATTTTCTTTTTATTGTCAGTCTTGTACATATATAGGGTGTCTTAAAAACTGGGAAGTATTGCAATGGAAAATAATTTAATTTGGAAAATATTGCAAAAAAAGTTCATATAAACATATGTCCGATATGGCCTTGTTTTCAAGTTATAGCCTAATATATTTTTCAATAAAATTAAGATAATTAAGGTTACAGCAAGTGCTCAAAATGACTACCTCTAACTTGAAAAAAGGCTTCAACACGTCTTATCATAGTGTCTGACTTTATCCAAAATTCCGGGAATTTCTCGAATTTCTATTGAAAAGAGAGTTTTCAAAAACTTGAAAACGAGGTCATATCAGACATATTTATATAAACTTTTTCTCTTATTTTTGTGTCTTAAATCCTCCACTGCAATACTTCCAATTTTTTAGGATACACCCTGTATATATTAAATATAAAAAAGTCTCTTCTGAAGACCTCCGTGAACTTGGCTCCTCGATTTTAATTTTTTCAATTTATTTTCTTTTTAATCGTTTGTAAGTCGTTGTAGATGATTGTTAGATTAATAAAAACGTTTGTTAGATCAGTCCTTCAAAAAATAAAAATTAAAAGTAGCCGTAAAGTTAGCCCCTACAAAATTAATTTTTGTTAAATTTACTTTATTAAGGGTTTATTCGATGTGAAGTTGTTCGTTGATCATGAATATGCTAATTTGAACGTTTGTTAGATCGTCGTTTCTTCAATTAAGACTAAAAACCACATTTAGTGATTTTCACGGAAATTGACCAACAAAAGATTTAGCATCGATTGACTCTTTGCAAGATTAAAATAATTATAAGCAGGGGGTTTAAGTTCACGGTTATTTCCACAGAAAATTACTAAATGTGGTTTTTAGTATTTATTGAAGAAACAACGATCTAAGAAACGTTCTAATTAGCATTTTCGTAACTAAGAAACGATTCCGCGTTGATTGACTCCCTGCAAAACTAAAATAATTGATAAATATAAATTTAACATATATAAGATAGGCAATAAGAGCCAAATCGCGGATGACAGTGCGTTATTCTAAACGAAACTAAATTTTTTCGTTAGAATTAAATACCTGTGCACAAGGCACCAAATTTTTACTTGGACACGGCCAAGATATAAAATTGGAATAATCTCTACAAGAGATTTTTAATTCCATGTATCCCCTATTCCCCCTAAAGAAATAAAGTGCGAGAGAAAAATATAGATCCGAAAGTCGCAGAATCGGGAATCGAACCCGAGACCTTTCGCTTGCCGGGCGACTGCTCTTCCAACTGAGCTATTCAGATCCTTTCGATTCTATACTTTTCTCTGTTATATATATTAATGTTGGTAAATAAACGCCTTTAAGCCAGCGTGTATAAATTAAGAGTTTAACTAGGCTCTGTAATATATAAATATAAATTTAACATATATAAGATAGGCAATAAGAGCCAAATCGCGGATGACAGTGCGTTATTCTAAACGAAACTAAATTTTTTCGTTAGAATTAAATACCTGTGCACAAGGCACCAAATTTTTACTTGGACACGGCCAAGATATAAAATTGGAATAATCTCTACAAGAGATTTTTAATTCCATGTATCCCCTATTCCCCCTAAAGAAATAAAGTGCGAGAGAAAAATATAGATCCGAAAGTCGCAGAATCGGGAATCGAACCCGAGACCTTTCGCTTGCCGGGCGACTGCTCTTCCAACTGAGCTATTCAGATCCTTTCGATTCTATACTTTTCTCTGTTATATATATTAATGTTGGTAAATAAACGCCTTTAAGCCAGCGTGTATAAATTAAGAGTTTAACTAGGCTCTGTAATATATAAATATAAATTTAACATATATAAGATAGGCAATAAGAGCCAAATCGCGGATGACAGTGCGTTATTCTAAACGAAACTAAATTTTTTCGTTAGAATTAAATACCTGTGCACAAGGCACCAAATTTTTACTTGGACACGGCCAAGATATAAAATTGGAATAATCTCTACAAGAGATTTTTAATTCCATGTATCCCCTATTCCCCCTAAAGAAATAAAGTGCGAGAGAAAAATATAGATCCGAAAGTCGCAGAATCGGGAATCGAACCCGAGACCTTTCGCTTGCCGGGCGACTGCTCTTCCAACTGAGCTATTCAGATCCTTTCGATTCTATACTTTTCTCTGTTATATATATTAATGTTGGTAAATAAACGCCTTTAAGCCAGCGTGTATAAATTAAGAGTTTAACTAGGCTCTGTAATATATAAATATAAATTTAACATATATAAGATAGGCAATAAGAGCCAAATCGCGGATGACAGTGCGTTATTCTAAACGAAACTAAATTTTTTCGTTAGAATTAAATACCTGTGCACAAGGCACCAAATTTTTACTTGGACACGGCCAAGATATAAAATTGGAATAATCTCTACAAGAGATTTTTAATTCCATGTATCCCCTATTCCCCCTAAAGAAATAAAGTGCGAGAGAAAAATATAGATCCGAAAGTCGCAGAATCGGGAATCGAACCCGGCTTAAAGGCGTTTATTTACCAACATTAATATATATAACAGAGAAAAGTATAGAATCGAAAGGATCTGAATAGCTCAGTTGGAAGAGCAGTCGCCCGGCAAGCGAAAGGTCTCGGGTTCGATTCCCGATTCTGCGACTTTCGGATCTATATTTTTCTCTCGCACTTTATTTCTTTAGGGGGAATAGGGGATACATGGAATTAAAAATCTCTTGTAGAGATTATTCCAATTTTATATCTTGGCCGTGTCCAAGTAAAAATTTGGTGCCTTGTGCACAGGTATTTAATTCTAACGAAAAAATTTAGTTTCGTTTAGAATAACGCACTGTCATCCGCGATTTGGCTCTTATTGCCTATCTTATATATGTTAAATTTATATTTATATATTACAGAGCCTAGTTAAACTCTTAATTTATACACGCTGGCTTAAAGGCGTTTATTTACCAACATTAATATATATAACAGAGAAAAGTATAGAATCGAAAGGATCTGAATAGCTCAGTTGGAAGAGCAGTCGCCCGGCAAGCGAAAGGTCTCGGGTTCGATTCCCGATTCTGCGACTTTCGGATCTATATTTTTCTCTCGCACTTTATTTCTTTAGGGGGAATAGGGGATACATGGAATTAAAAATCTCTTGTAGAGATTATTCCAATTTTATATCTTGGCCGTGTCCAAGTAAAAATTTGGTGCCTTGTGCACAGGTATTTAATTCTAACGAAAAAATTTAGTTTCGTTTAGAATAACGCACTGTCATCCGCGATTTGGCTCTTATTGCCTATCTTATATATGTTAAATTTATATTTATATATTACAGAGCCTAGTTAAACTCTTAATTTATACACGCTGGCTTAAAGGCGTTTATTTACCAACATTAATATATATAACAGAGAAAAGTATAGAATCGAAAGGATCTGAATAGCTCAGTTGGAAGAGCAGTCGCCCGGCAAGCGAAAGGTCTCGGGTTCGATTCCCGATTCTGCGACTTTCGGATCTATATTTTTCTCTCGCACTTTATTTCTTTAGGGGGAATAGGGGATACATGGAATTAAAAATCTCTTGTAGAGATTATTCCAATTTTATATCTTGGCCGTGTCCAAGTAAAAATTTGGTGCCTTGTGCACAGGTATTTAATTCTAACGAAAAAATTTAGTTTCGTTTAGAATAACGCACTGTCATCCGCGATTTGGCTCTTATTGCCTATCTTATATATGTTAAATTTATATTTATATATTACAGAGCCTAGTTAAACTCTTAATTTATACACGCTGGCTTAAAGGCGTTTATTTACCAACATTAATATATATAACAGAGAAAAGTATAGAATCGAAAGGATCTGAATAGCTCAGTTGGAAGAGCAGTCGCCCGGCAAGCGAAAGGTCTCGGGTTCGATTCCCGATTCTGCGACTTTCGGATCTATATTTTTCTCTCGCACTTTATTTCTTTAGGGGGAATAGGGGATACATGGAATTAAAAATCTCTTGTAGAGATTATTCCAATTTTATATCTTGGCCGTGTCCAAGTAAAAATTTGGTGCCTTGTGCACAGGTATTTAATTCTAACGAAAAAATTTAGTTTCGTTTAGAATAACGCACTGTCATCCGCGATTTGGCTCTTATTGCCTATCTTATATATGTTAAATTTATATTTATATATTACAGAGCCTAGTTAAACTCTTAATTTATACACGCTGGCTTAAAGGCGTTTATTTACCAACATTAATATATATAACAGAGAAAAGTATAGAATCGAAAGGATCTGAATAGCTCAGTTGGAAGAGCAGTCGCCCGGCAAGCGAAAGGTCTCGGGTTCGATTCCCGATTCTGCGACTTTCGGATCTATATTTTTCTCTCGCACTTTATTTCTTTAGGGGGAATAGGGGATACATGGAATTAAAAATCTCTTGTAGAGATTATTCCAATTTTATATCTTGGCCGTGTCCAAGTAAAAATTTGGTGCCTTGTGCACAGGTATTTAATTCTAACGAAAAAATTTAGTTTCGTTTAGAATAACGCACTGTCATCCGCGATTTGGCTCTTATTGCCTATCTTATATATGTTAAATTTATATTTATATATTACAGAGCCTAGTTAAACTCTTAATTTATACACGCTGGCTTAAAGGCGTTTATTTACCAACATTAATATATATAACAGAGAAAAGTATAGAATCGAAAGGATCTGAATAGCTCAGTTGGAAGAGCAGTCGCCCGGCAAGCGAAAGGTCTCGGGTTCGATTCCCGATTCTGCGACTTTCGGATCTATATTTTTCTCTCGCACTTTATTTCTTTAGGGGGAATAGGGGATACATGGAATTAAAAATCTCTTGTAGAGATTATTCCAATTTTATATCTTGGCCGTGTCCAAGTAAAAATTTGGTGCCTTGTGCACAGGTATTTAATTCTAACGAAAAAATTTAGTTTCGTTTAGAATAACGCACTGTCATCCGCGATTTGGCTCTTATTGCCTATCTTATATATGTTAAATTTATATTTATATATTACAGAGCCTAGTTAAACTCTTAATTTATACACGCTGGCTTAAAGGCGTTTATTTACCAACATTAATATATATAACAGAGAAAAGTATAGAATCGAAAGGATCTGAATAGCTCAGTTGGAAGAGCAGTCGCCCGGCAAGCGAAAGGTCTCGGGTTCGATTCCCGATTCTGCGACTTTCGGATCTATATTTTTCTCTCGCACTTTATTTCTTTAGGGGGAATAGGGGATACATGGAATTAAAAATCTCTTGTAGAGATTATTCCAATTTTATATCTTGGCCGTGTCCAAGTAAAAATTTGGTGCCTTGTGCACAGGTATTTAATTCTAACGAAAAAATTTAGTTTCGTTTAGAATAACGCACTGTCATCCGCGATTTGGCTCTTATTGCCTATCTTATATATGTTAAATTTATATTTATATATTACAGAGCCTAGTTAAACTCTTAAAATAATTGAATTATAAGGGGGGTTCACCCTTAGTTCACGGTTAGTCAGAAAATTACTAAATGTGACTTTTAGCATTTATTGAAGAAATAACAACAACATTCTACAAACGTTCTAATTAGCATATTTGTGACGAACAAATAATTTTGTATCGAATAAATCCTTAATAAAGTAAATTCAATAAAAATTAATTTTGTAGGGGCTAACTTTACGGCTACTTTTATTTCTAATTTTTTGAAGAATTGATCTAACAAACGTTTTTATTAATCTAACAATCACCTACATACGACTTACAAACGATTGAAAAAATAAATTCAAAAAGTCAAAATCGAGGGACCAAGTTCACGGAGCCCCTCTGAAGCGTAGATAAATGTGAGTCAGAATATGCAATATAAAATTACTATACCCAAAATTCTTTGTATTCTGGTGATATACTTTCTAAGTATAATATTCTATCTTCAATATTCTTCAATCTTTCATAAATATCTTTGGGCACAGGTTTATTAATTCCTATTATATGTTCTGTTGTGCAAATTCTATCATCCAATACAGGAGAATAATTAGCAATATCAGAACTCGTATTATTTATCACTGATTTGTACAACATTGATTGATCAATTGTTTGAGGTCCCCATGTGTTAAATACTCGGTGAACTGAAAGTAATAAAAATAGATATATATCAGAACTATTCTTCAAGCATTTCATTTTTGACGGTTTTATAAAAAAGTTCATAAATTAATATTTAACAAAACTAAATAAACAATTCATCTGTAAAAGCTAATAAAAAGTAAAGATAAAAGAAGCAAAAAGAAAAACAATAAAAAAGATAAAAACCAATTTAAAATTCAAAATAAAAATAAAAATAAAAATAAAAAAATAAAAAGCTCGTGTACATTAATCAAATTATTAAAACATAAATTGATAATAGGCCAACTAAACGAGCAAAAATAAATTATAAGATTTTATTTATTTATTACAACATATCACTATTAAAAAACCCCGCAAACGTTTCGACTGTACTACAGTCTTCATCAGTACAAAAATAATAACAAATGATTACATAAAATCATAAATTTAATATACAAAATAAGTAACATACTCGATTGGATAATATAAAAACAGATAGCAATCAAACATGTTTACAATTAGTATCAGATGTCAAAACGCGAATATAAACTCATTTAATGTGTAAAATATAAATTATCAATTACAATTAAATATTACAAAACTTACGAAACGAAAAAATTAATTAATCGGTCAATATACAATAAGAATAACGCGGTCAAACGATTCACAAAAACATATTCGTCGTTTATAGGCGGGAAACATGCCAGTAAAATCGCTCATCATGCCAACAATTTTTTGATAAAATTTCTATGTTTCCCAATTTTGACGACCAATTCGATGAATAACGATTATGTAAGAAAAATTTTTGGATATTAATGATCTTAAAATAAGAACCGAACCGATTAAAAAAGATATAAAATCACTTACGAATTGTCAAAAAGAATAAAACGATCGTCCGTATAAGGTGTCATGAGTATGTTTGAAAGTCAGAAACAAAACTCATTAATATCCAAAAATTTTTCTTAGCATAATTGTTATTCATCGAATTGGTCGTCAAAATTGGGAAACAGAAATTTTATCAAAAAATTGTTGGCGTGATGAGCGATTTTACTGGCATGTTCCCCGCTTACAAACGACGAATATGTTTTTGTGAATCGTTTGACCGCGTTATTCTTATTGTATATTGGCCGATTAATTAATTTTTTCGTTTCGTAAGTTTTGTAATATTTAATTGTATTGATAATTTATATTTTATACATTAAATGGGTTTATATTCGCATTTTGACATATGATACTACGTAATTGTAAACATGTTTGATTGCTGTCCGTTTTTTATATTATCCAATCAAGTATGTTACTTATTTTGTATATTAAATTTATGATTTTATAATGTGATCATTTGTTATTATCTTTGTACTGATGAAGACTGTAGTACAATCGAAACATTTGCGAGGTTTTTTAATAGTGATATGTTATAATAAATAAGATCTTATAATTTATTTTTACTCGTTCAGTTGGCCTATTATCAATTTATGTTTTAATAATTTGTTTAAAAAAGATAAAGATGTATTGTAAAATATGTATCAAATAAATATATCAAAATCACACAAGCAATTACAATTTTGAACATTTGCATTTTACGTATATTACCTTTCACATGACTTTTGGAATCTTTGCGTCGAATAAGAATGGCATCTACTCTTGCACAAGAATTTTCATTATCATTTCTTTCACTGTAAATATACTGTTCGTTATTAAAATAATTAACTAGTTATAATAAATAAAAGCTTACACAATGCATTAACTAAATACACGTTTGTCTAGTTATAATTGTATCACCTCCAGGTGTACAGTGTACAGGTAGAGAATTAAATTGAGTAAGAAAATTCTCTACCGTTCCACAATTTTCGCGTTAATTAATGAGAAATTAATTTTAAAAACTTGACTAAAGCACATGAGTGTGTAAACATGTAATGACATCTTACTGTCACGCGATTATTATGCACAATATATAATTAAACGAGATTATTAAGGCTCCTGCGTCCTCGCTGGTAAAGTTAGATTCTGTCAGGAGCGAGAAAGCATATGCTGATAATTCTTAGATGTCATTTTCAAATAAAAACTTTTCAATGAAATACTATTTCAGATGGTTTAATACACTTTTAGTATACTTTGAAAACTTCTTTTTTAAGGAATTCTTTTTCTTTGAAAAATTCTTTCTCCTTGAAACTCAATCAACAATCGTACAATAATCGTGATATCAGACATGTAAAGACCAGACAAACTGGGCATCATATTACAATTATTTTACAGCTGTTGATTGTTTATAAAATGGGAAAAGAATAGTTTTCGAGATATTTTAAAAGTGTGCTAAAGCTATCTGAAGTGCTGTTTCACTGAAATATCTTTTTATTTCGAAATGGCATTTAAGAATTTTTAGCGTGTTTTTTCTGACGTCACAATTCCAACAAGTCGGCAAGACAAGAGCCTAAATACCAACGCTTCGTCACGTATCTAGTAACTGTGAAAAGACTCACTGTACCACAGTGAGTCTCTCCACAGTCTCTTCTCCCCGTATGCTTATAATTGCAGATTACTGATTTGTAAAAATTAATTTTTAAATCATTAATTATATTTATTGTGCAAAAATTACATTTTAATTAGCATGGAATAATGAGATTAATCAATTGGTATAAGAAAATTTACTATTTGTAATGTGCAATTGCATATATTTAAAAAAATAACTGTTTTTCTTATACCAACAACCAATTGATTTATTATCTCATTATTCTATACAGAAAATTATTAAAATAAAATGATCAAATAATAAATATATTATAAGATATAGTATATTTTTATCAAAATGTGCCAGAATGAAATAAAATATCTCGTAAACTCTCCCCCCTCCCTCCCTCCCTCTCTCACATTCTTCCCCTCTCTCTCTGTCTCTCTCCCCCTCCCTCTTTTTCCCCTCTCTCTCGCTCCCTCTTTCTCTCTTCCCCCCTCTCTATTCATTCTTCTACTATTTAACTCTAATAATTTTTCACATCAAATATTACAAATCGTTTTATGTAAGGAAGTTTAGTAATTCTTTTTAAGAAAGTAATGATCTTAAAATCTCAAAAATTCTTTTACTTGGAATAAGATCATGTTTATGACAAGACATTCCTCTAAAAATCTTATAACTTGCGTATAAACTATTTTTCGATGGAAGCCTTGATTTTCGAGAAATTTCAATCTGAAAGTTAAAACGGAAAACCCTGTATATACAGAATGTCCCACATAAAGTGTTGTATATAAGCTGTTTTCTGTTACTGCTAGAGATGTTAACTTACATTTTTTTAATTAAATGGGACAAAGTGTCTGAAAATTTGATGGATTAAAAAGATCTTGGAAACTTTTAAGGAACAAAAGGGGAGCTCATTCATTTTAGTACAAAATATCTCATAAAATTAACTTTTTGATCATCCAACTCTTAACATTTTTGTGAATAATATTGTAAGAAATTAATTTATATAAAAAAAATTATATCGATTTCTATTTTAAAAAATAAGGGAGCTCCTCTTTTGTTCTTTAAAGGCTTCCAACATTTTTTATTTATCAAATTTTCACGAATCTTGTTCTATTTAATAAAAAAAAATCTTTAGCAGTAGTAGATAAAACATGTGGGATACTCTGTATATGGTGTTTCTAAATAAGTGTGAAAAATTTTAGATCATCCTTTGTTGAAAATTAAGAAGAGTTTTCCATATACCCCTCCCTATATATCCTTCTTACAAGTATTACACTCCTCCAAAGGGAGAAAGTGAAAGTTAAGTTTTAATCTTTTTTCTTAAAAACTTGATTTTACGAAAAAATAAATTTCCAAATCAAACTATCTCTAACACATATTTTTAGATTATCAATTCTACTGTTAAAAGTACAAAAAATTGAATAGAAGTTGTTAGTTTCATTTCCTTATACAGGGTGTCCGGTAACTAACGGACCAACGATTAGAAGTGGATTCTTTGGTCAATTTGGGAACGATTTTTCCTCAGCGAAAATGTCGAAAAAGGTCATCATTTTTTAAAACTGTCCAATATTTGTCATTATGTATCTTTATAACTAAACCTCAAATTAAAATTTTATTATAGTAAACTTTACATGAAATTAACTGAAGAATGTAATTATGTTAGACTTTTAACTCCAAAACGTTTAGTTTTCAAAAAACCCATTTTTTCCAATCGCTTATAACTCGAAAATTATTGACTTCTCAACATTTTTGCTAAGGAAAAATCGTCTCCAAATTGCCCAGAGAATCCGCCCTTAATCATTGGTCCGTTAGTTACCGGACACCCTGTATAACGATACGGGAAGATTAAAAAATATTAATATTCTTTGTATATTAATAAAAATTATCCATTAAATTTAATTTTTTAATTTGTTCAAAATTTGAGAAAAAAGTAAACTAAATATTCACCTTTTTTAGAAGAGTGTAAACTCCTCAAAGAAGGAGATATAGAAATATATATTTATATGAAAAATCTCCCTTAATTCTGGATAAGGAATCATCTTTTTTGCACCTATTTAGAAACATCTACACACACACACACGCACACAAGCACGCACGCACGCACGCACGCACGCACGCACGCATGTATATATATATATATATATATATATATATATATATATATATATATATAATATATAAATTTAGAGTGTATAAAAAGTACCCCTAAATATTTCAAAAACTAAGCATTCTAGAAAAAAATGTTCCGAATAAATCTTATAGGGCTCAAAATAAGGCATTTGATGGATTTTAACTTTGACCTAGTAGTCAAACTTGAAGGTCAACTTAATTTTTTAAAATGAAACTTCCTATTTTTTATTACATATATTCTTGTAGCTTATGTCGAGAGCTTTCCAAAACACTATAATAAAACATTTTTTATTAAGTACTTTTTGAGTTAGAAAGATTTAAAGTTAACAATTTTTTGACGTAAAAAGTAAGATATTTTGTAAAATATTCAGTTTTTGTAATTATACCTTAATACCTTTGTGCGCGAAATAAGTCACGTGTAAAGGTCAATTTCTTCACTTTAATTTCACTTCAATTTCTTAAATAGAACTACTTGTTTTTCATTACATATTTTATAGGTTATCTCAACAGCTTTCCAAAACCTTATAATAAAGTATTTTTTTATGGAGTACTCTTCTTTGAATTATAAATTTGAAGTTTGAAGTTAACAATTTTTTGACATAAAATGTAAAATATCTTGTAAAATATTCAATTTTCGAAAATCATGCCTTAATACTTTTCTGCACCGTATAATAATAAAAGCAATCAATTGGTTTAAAGAAAACACATAGTTGCTTTAAAACAGATGCATAAAATTTGCAACATATTTTTTCAAAAGCAAATGTGTATTTTTTTTAAACCAATTAATTGGTCTTATTATTCTGTGCACAAAAGTATTAAGGGATGATTACCGAAAACTACACATTTTACAAGATATTTTACATTTTGTGTCAAAAAATTGTTAACTTCAAACCTTTATAACTTAAAAAATACTTAAGGATGTATGGGAGATACAATCGGAGACAAAAGTACCCGAAATTCGAAAATTACAAATATTTGCATTTTGCAAGTCTTAAATAAAGTCATAAGTAACTGAAAAGAATAGTGGCAGCTCTAAGTTTTAATTTAGAAATGTAATTTTTTCATTCCGATTCATTTTTTGGCTGCATTTGTTAATATTATTATTTATGTAATAAAATTTTTGAAAGTGAATATTCCCTGAATTCAACTTGACGGAAATGAATTTTTAAAAGCATAAGTGAAGTTAATAATCGTTATAAAGTAATGAATTATGTTTAAATATGAATGAAAATGTAAATACATGTTATATTTATAAAAATTTTAACTATAAAATGTAATTATTCTTGATAATTGAATGCTTTTTGAAAACTGTTAAACGTGACAACACTGTCGCTTCTCATAAGTTGGCAGCTTTACGAGCTGTCAATTCCATGTCAAAAAAGATGCCAATTCACATTGTGCATAATTAAAGGCTATCTATACCGCTAAAAGTTTTTCACGCATTATGTCAAAAATAACGTATCGTTGGAAAGGAAAAATAGTATCTAAAAAAAACTTATGAAAAAAGAATCGCTCAATAAAAAAGTGGCGAGAAGAGAAGAAAAATCTCAAAAATGAAGAAAAAGTAGTGGATGAAATTGAGAACGTTATTGAAGAACAGTCTGATTTTAAAGACGGATAAAGTATTGTTGATTTAAAAATTCTTGGTCAACAATTATGGTGTATATCCTGCAAAAAAGCTCTATCTTTGGAATACATCGAAAATGAGATACGTCGTGGATTGGGTTCACAACTCATGATGCGATGTCATAAATGTCTGCTTCTCAATCAAATTACTACAGATAAGAAGCTATTATTAAATAACAAACGTGTAGTGCTCGTTTTGATATTAACTATAAAACTGCTTTAGGTAAATTTTAATATTTAAATAACAAACTTAATTATTCTAATTTTAATTATACATATATTTATTTTCTTGGATTATTTTCTTCTCAGGTGCTTTGCACGTTAGATTAGGATGGAAACATCTCTCGAAATTATTTGAAATGAAAACTCTAGAAAATATTTATAATGTTTCTGGCAGAGATGGCCTTCATGAATTTTTCAAGGAAAAACTTCAAAATAAAATTTTGAAAGGATTACGTAAATCTACAGTTCAAAAAATTATCGATTGGTTTAGTAAATAAATTTCATCACTTTTAATACTATATATATAATTATTTTTACTGTGTAAAGAGATTTTAATATGTAATACTGTGCATTTTTTATATTATAAAAAATGTATTTGTATAATATTAATAATAAATTATTATAATAATAAAAAAATTCATATAATAATAAATAAATATTAATAAATTAAAAATAATAAATAGTAATAAATTGGAAAAATTAATATAATACATATAATAAATTGGTTATTTTGAAATTTTTCAATTGTCGGTTTAATTTTTTAACAGTGTACGAGGGCAGTCCGATAAGTACTTAGCCTCATCGCCCGATGGTGCCAGTATCGCAAGAGAGTTTTACTATCGTGTAGTACATTCTCGTAGACGGCTACTGTCAAAATTTCAGCCGAATCGGACTCGTAGTTTTGTTTTCACCGCGTGTGGAAGCGGGCGTGTCCGCGGACTTTAGAAAAATGGAAAAAGAGCAATATCAGTCGGTGATTCGATTCTTGTTTTTGGAAGGGAAATCACCGACTGATATTGCTCTTTTTCCATTTTTCTAAAATCCGCAGACACGCCCGCTTCCACACGCGGTCAAAACAAAACTACGAGTCCGATTCGGCTGACATTTTGACAGTAGCCGTCTACGAGAATGTACTACACGATAGTAAAACTCTCTTGCGATACTGACATCATCGGGCGATGAGGCTAAGTACTTATCGGACTGCCCTCGTATATATAAATTTTGTGATATATATCTATATGGAATCTCTGCTGCTTCCAATGTTGCCGCACTTCTACAACCAATGTCAGAGAAATAAGAAAAATAGCCAGAATTTCAATAAATTTCAATCATTTTAACCATTTCAATTATCATTTTCTTCTAAACGATTTAGTGAATGTTAGTGTAATATTGCAAAAGTGTTCCTTAAAGTTTCAGTTGTATATATAAAAAATTTGAAATATATGGTACCATTTTTTGATACTTTTAACGTAATAAAATCGTTTACAGTCATAAATCTTCATAAAATATATGTAAAAGTAGCGGAAATTGCGGAAATTCAAATTGCAATAACTTTTAAATGGGTTAGTGAATTAATTCCAAATTTTGACAGTAGCTTTAGTATTAAAGTGGAAACGATTTGTATAATTTTCATGAATTTTGTATCATTTTTAGATGTCTCCCATACATCCTTAATAAAAAAATATTTTATTAAAGTGTTTTGGAAAGCTCTCGAGATAAACTACAAGAATCTGCAATAAAAGGGGGTTCTATTGAAAAAAATTAAGTTGATCTTGAAATGCCCCTCCTTTGTCAAAGTTAAAATCACCGTCAAATGCCTTATTTTGAGCTCTATAAGATTCATTCGAAACATTATTTTCTAAAATGCTTAGTTTTCGAAATATTCAGGGGTCCTGGTACTTTTTATACATCCTGTATATACAGGGTAGACCATTTTAATCAATACACGCGAATATCTCGAAAAAGAGTTTTTTTCAAAAAATGTTTTAAATAAGTTTTATGGCTTTAAGAGGGAAAATAATGGCATTATTAATTTAATTGTAGATGGCACTATTTTAGAGATTTTATTATGACGGCCATTTTTTAAATGAAAGTCGATATTTTTTTTAAATAAAAATTATAGCTGGCAATGAGAAGAATTCAATGTTTTTCTTTTTTTTAATTGGATCATTTTTCACTGAGATACAGCGTTTCAGTTATAAGTGAAAAATGTCCACGCTCACACAGTGTATTTTGTAATTCCAAACCACCTTTCATTTGTGTGCGTGTGTGTTGTTCCTATCCATTATCTGAACTGATTCTATTTAATGGTCAACTAGCTCCAGACCAATTGACACGCAGTTTTCTGCGCTTAGCATTACCCAGAATAAACGACATGGATGTGGCGCAACTTTCATCTCTTTGGGGTGCTTTTTCGAGATATTCACGTGTATTGATTAAGATTAAAATGATCTACCCTGTATATATATGTCCCCTTTCTAAAAAAAAAGGCATATTATTGACATTGTCGTCGCTTTTTCGCGATGCTAATTGGCTGTTTTGATTCGCGGTTGTTATGTGGTATATTCAAAGCATCGAGCAACTGTTGAGAGGGTTAACAGTTTGACAGTTGTCAAAATAAAATTAAATGAAATTTAATAAAGATTAAAATTAGATATTTAAAGACAAGGCTCGTGTAATATTATAAAAATAAGATTTAGAAAGACAGGGCCAACCTTAACGAGCATATTAAATTAGTTAGAGATGTAATGTCAACACATAATGAAATTACAATTATTAAAAAGTTAAATCTCACACACATACACACATACATTACAAAAATACGAATAATAACGCGCGCGAAGTGCGCATTTGTATTGTCTAGTATTATATGTATATACGGTATTGTGCTTAGATGATTTCAAAATTAGCTAAATAAAGATAAGATAAAAATATGTAAATTTATCTTAGATAAGGTAAAGATAATTTTGTTTGAAATATATCAAGTTAAAAGATAAAATTATTTAACGATTAATTTAGATAATTTTCTAAATAATAATTTTTAAAACTGTTTATGTAAACACAGTTATAAAAAAATGTAAATTATAAAAGGGATATAAAAATATATGTATTCATATTTTTATTTATAAATTTTTATTACTTACTGCTTAAGTTCTACTATTTAAGTATTTTTATGTGCTTTGATTCTAAACCAAAATTATCTGAAAATTATTCTAGATAATTTAGTAAAGATATTTTTTTCATCTAAGATGCAGATATAGAATACATATTTTTATTATCTATATAAAGATAAGATACCAAAGTTTCATCTAGATGGTCATCTAGATAATTTTATTTAGATAACAGCAAACACTGTACACGCGCACGCACATGCACACATACAAGATGATCCATTTTAATCTACGAATATATATATATATATATATATCTTCCAAATATCTCATATAACATTCATTTTTCCATGATCTTTCATTCTTTCATGCACAAAATAATGAGAAGTCAATTGGTGTAAAAAAGTTGTTTTTACGAAAAAATGTAACTACTAGTTGTAATTTGCACCATATTATATATATACATATATAATTTTATGTACTATAATTATTAAATGCAAATTATGCAATAGTTACACATGCAATTTTTGTATTTTAGCAATAATGAACAAACCTGTGACGACAAAACTCTTGCACATTTACACTATTTACTTGCTGACGTTTCCGTTCAATAAATGATTCTATCCTACGATTCAATTCTTTTGAGTTTGCTTGAACTTGTACAAGACGTGGGTCAATAATAATTTTATCCGATACTTCATTTATATTTGCAGCTGCCATAACATCTTTACTGTTCAAAGCTATAGATCATATAACATTTTTTATAATATACTTTTATATTATTAATTACATATATTATTAATATATAAAAAATATATGTATATATAATATACATAATAATATAAAATATATCAATAAAAATATATCTCATTCAATTCCAGATATTTAGTATTATATTATGTATTGTAGATATTATTTTAAAATTCTTGCAACTTTACTAATATTGAATCAAAAACAAAATCATATGAATTTTTTGTAAAATACATTGATATAAATTAATGTTTTCATTTACTACTCATATTTATAAATGATATGAATTAATTATATAGAATTTCCTTGTTTTTCTATTATAATATAAATATTGATTTACGATTAAAAAATATAGTTGCACGGATGTATTGCATGCTATTTGAAAGACATGCATTTGTAAAAGTTTAAAGCTAATGGTAAAAAAATTATTTACTATTTATCCATGTACACTCTTTGTTTTCCTTCCATTGTGTTTCTCCCTCTTTATACACTTCTTTTTTCCAAATAGGCACTGATGCTTTTAACGCATTAATAGCATATTCCACTGCTTTCAATGATTCCTCTCTATGAGGAGAGGAAATTGCTATTACAATACTTGCTTTAGATATTAGTACTTCTCCAATACGATGATATATAGCAATGCCTTCTACATTCCATTGTTCACGAATTTTGGTACAAATATTGATCATTTCTTTCAAAGCCATTGATTCATATGCTTCATATTCTAACTTGACTACCTAAAAATTATATAATCGACTTTAAATTCACAAACATAACAAGAGTATTATTTACTCATTAACATTTATTTATAATATTATCAATTCTTTAATGACTCTCTAAATAAAAAATTTTTATTCTAAGTAAATGAAGCATTTATATATCATTTTTATATCTTTATATTTATATATATTTATATATATTTATATATATATATATATATATATATATATATATGTTTTATATTTATATATATATATATGTGTGTGTGTAAATTTTTTTATATATAAACAGCCTATTATATATGAATATTAAAATTTTTAATTAATTAAAATTATAATTAAATTTTAATTAATTATTATAATATACTTACTTCCTTATTTTCAAAATTATCTCGGGTAATTCCAATAAAGGTAGATATTGCACCACAATTAGAATACGTTACTAAATCTATAATTTCCGTAATATTTAATTCCTCGTGTTGTAACTTAACAAAATTTTTTGATGTTTCCATATTATCCTATAAAAAATATTAGTAATAATTTTATTTAATTATTTATTGTATCATAGTAAAATTTAGTTCAACCAGCTTCATTTAAATTTTAATAAAAATATACGTCTTTTTGCATAAAACAAAGGTGAGGTTTAGTTAGGTTAGATTGGATTAGGTTCAGAAAAATTAACGGAAACTTGATATTTACAGTACTTGTTATAACATACAAACCTCCGCTAAGTGGTGGGATTACAGCAATTTGATCCTTTTCTGATAACACGAGAATACTATTTGGAACAACAAATTCTTCGTTTATAGATAATAATAATTGATTGCGTATAGCTTCCAATTGAAAAGTAGAGATAATTTTATCAAAAAGATCAGTAGAAGACAGATATCTTGATATATAAATTTTACATTCCTTATTTCCAGTTAGTTCACGTGCTTTTGCAAAAAATAACACAGTAATTTCTATTTCCTTAGCAATCTCATCTGTACTTTTACTACTCATCTCTTCTTTTTACTTTTTATTATTAGTACCATAGACAAGAATTGTATAGAGGTTTGTTCGCATCGCATGCCCCAACATGCTCGAAAATCGACATGCGGATGTAACCCGTCATTTTTCGAAACCGCATTTTTGTGCGCTACAAATCCTTCTGGAAATTACTTAAAAAATGCAATTGTATTTCTCAATATTATTATTATTCATAATTTATAATTATTATAAGGACGATTTTACTAACCATACTAACATATAGGGTCTTCTTAGTTCTAACTAAGCGGCTCAGCCAATCGGACAGCGTCACTAGACTATACCGGTGTCACGTCCTAGTGACCTTCCTACTCTCTCTATTCCTAGGCTAGAAAGAATGCAGCGCTCTCTATTTTTTATGAGGCAACCTGCTTACACCGGCTATACCTCAGGGACGCCGAGAGCACGGACTATACTGTGGAACTAGGGACGAGTGTTGGGACGTTGGGGATGGGGAATTCTAGTTACTAGTGAAAAAAGGATTTCTACTAGCAATTCTTTCTAAACTATCTAATGAATTTATCAATTAATCGATTGTAATTTCCCCATTTAAATAGTTGTTAATTAATAAATTCAATAGCGAAAATATAATATAACTCTCAAATTTAAGGTCTTGAGAATCCCTCATGGGGTCTTATTATTAAACAATTATTTGAATTACGTGAGTTATCGGTTTCTGTGAAATCTCGCGTTTATCGTGTGCAATGGATCAGGAATGTTATCTAAACAGACGAGAAATTGGTCTTTTATTGTTTGTACTTCGTCCGTAGGATAAAATTGTTCCTGGAAATTATTTTTTTCTACTTGCGATACTAATTCGTGTAATTCCGTGATTAGTACCTGGTCTGAAGAATCGATTTCTGAACTAAATTTATTAGATGGTTCGTTTGGCAAGGATTCTATTCCGGAGTCAGGGGGGATTCCTTTGTCTGAGAGGTGATAACTCTGGAAAGTTAGTTCTGAGATCAAAATAATTTAGTGCTTCTATTAAAGAATCAATTGAACCTGGTAATTCAGGAGTCGTGAATTCAAGGGAATTAAGAGGTTGGTTGATCGAAGGTTTGGTCTCAATGTGAGAGGGAGTTCCTTTGTTCACTACGAGCTTATTGTCAAAATTTAGTTGAATAGATAGTCTTCAATCTTTTTATGGTCTCTGGAGAAAAGGTAACTTTTTCACACGATTTAACACGAGGTTTATTATCAGGTGACCGTCGCCTGAGCCAACGTAGGGTAGATGCGGCACGGTCAGCACGAGCCTTCTTACCTGCTCTATAATTACGTTTCTTTCGATATTTGATCTTTTGTTTTAATGTTTTCATTTATAATACGTTATGGAATAGTAGGAAAATGGTTATCAATTTAATATAAGGATACTAATGAGGAGGATATACTGAGGGAGATCGCGTTAATTGAACCAAATCCAATTTGCTAAAGAATTTATCAAAATAACATTTGTTAAATTATTGACTCATGGTATTGATCTATTAGGAAGGAGAAGGTGGAAGGGAAAAAAAACTATATCGGTGCGGCAAGGCGCGCGGCATAGACAATAGAGTTCTCGGAGGTAGAGGAAAAAACTATATCGGTGCGGCAAGGCGCGCGACATAGACAATGGAGTTCCCGGAGGTAGAAGAAAAAACTATATCGGTGCGGCAAGGCGCGCGACATAGACAATGGAGTTCCCGGAGGTAGAAGAAAAAACTATATCGGTGCGGCAAGGCGCGCGACATAGACAATGGAGTTCTCGGAGGTAGAGGAAAAAACTATATTGGTGCGGCAAGGCGCGCGACATAGACAATGGAGTTAAAGGGTGTTGGTAGGGGAATGGCTTTTGGTGCGTTATTCAGTGCTCGGGGCAATGGAAATATGAGAATGAGAATGAAAGGAATTATTAGAGTAATAACAGGAGTTCTGTCTTTATACTAGAATCTATCATCTAATATTGATGTATTTTCTTATCGATAGGATAATTAGGAAGTGAATGGATAATGCTTGAAAGAAATCTGCGCGACCTTCGAAACTCGTTTGAATTTTTATGTAAAGCTGGAGTGTCGGATGATCTGTGTGATTAACAGATTCTTACCTTTAAGACGACAAACTCTTCGTAGACCTGTGATGTGCCTGGCCAACTTCGCTCCCTCGCAAGGACTTCGGTCGTGAGGTGCTTATGGCGAAATCAAACACTAGGTTGTACGATGCTCTGAAGTTCTTTATTCGTCTTTAAGCCGGTTCAGTGGCGGATTAAGCATTTTGCCGCCCCTAGGCAGCGTACATTTTGCCGCCCCTAAAAGCAAAAAAAAAAAAAAAAAAGATTTAGTACAAAATATCAACAATTTTCTGTTACCCCTGCATTAGCTGGTGAAAACGTAATATATTTTTAAATATTTTCACGACCCCAGAGTGCACCACGAGGAGGTTTGCAGATAGGATTTTACACTCCTTTTTTTTACTTTCTTTATTTTTTTTTACTTTTTATTTTTATTTCTTTTTTTATTTTTTGTTCTTTTTATCTTTTCTTGTATTTTTAATTTTTTTTATTCTTCTTTTTTATATTTTATATATTTTTTTTAATTTTTATTTCTTTTTATCTTTTTTACTATATTTTTGTTAGTTACTTGTTTTTATTGTAATTGTTTCTTTCTACACTTCTTTGCTACAAAGTCACTGATTAATTTCTTAAAATCTGTTGAGATTGTTAGATCACTTTCAATTGTCAGAATAGAAAAATTATTTAATTGGTCATCAACCAAACTAGTCCTTAAACAGTTTTTGATTCTTTTTAACGCGGAAAATCACCGTTTGGAAGAGCAGTTTGTAGCCGGCGTGCAGACAAATATTCGACAAGCTATATCGACATTTGGATATATAGAATGTATATTTCGAGTTCGAAGAAGTTTATTATAACTTAAAAGGGAATGTCTTTTATTTTTGAGTATATTGGTACTTTCCAAATACGCTCGAAAATGTAGGCATTCGTCAACAAACGATTCTTCTAAATCTAAAGGGTAATACTGTTGTAATTTTTTAGCCTTATTTATTAAATCCGCAGTTGATATCGAAGTAATTTTAGATAACCATTCAAATCTTTCAAAAATATCTTTATATGCATTACCTCTACGTTCTAATTCTGAACTTATACGGTCTATTATAACAAAAAATGTATCTCGTCTAAACTGTTCTTTACCACAGATTTGTGACATTTCTGTTTCAATTTCCGATATCTCATCAAATGGAAGTTTACGCTTTCTTTTTCGTCTTGTGTCGAATTCATAATCTTCGACTTCAGATTTTTCCTTTGCTTTCTCTTCAAACATATCAAATAAATTTCGTAGTGAATTAATGTATCCTGTTAATGAACTATAAAGTTCCACAACTGTTTGTATGTCAATATCAACACTTTGCAATTTTTTGCTAGTTATTTGAAATCGATCCATTATTGAGTTCCAAAATACAGCCATAAAGACAGTTTCAAATCGACTCATTTGTTTCAATAGTCCTGCAGCTTCACTACGAGTAGCCGGTTTCTCGGCAGTATTTAAATTTATTGTATTTAAAGCTTTAATTATGGAATCCCAGTTTTCAACTAAACTGCGAGAAGCTTCCGCTCGAGATGACCATCGAGTATCAGACATTCTTTTTATTACTATATTGCCTGGTTTTAAAGTGGATAACAATATCTCCCACCGGTGAGTTGACGCAGAAAAAAATGTGTAAAGATGCTGGAGAATTGAAAAAAAATTACATGCTTCATGACAACTTTCTGCTGCGCATACGCCAATCAAATTTAAAGAATGCGCAGAACATGGCACGTATAGCGCATATTGATTTTTATTTTTTATTCTTGCTTGCAATCCATTATATCTGCCAGACATGTTACTGGCATTATCATAGGACTGCCCTCGGCAGTTGGCAATGTCCAAATCATAATTAAGTAACGTAGAAAAGACAGCATCAGCTAATTGTTCAGATTTATGACCAGTATTTGGTAAAAAACAAAGAAAACGTTCTACCGGCATACCATCATTGTCGTTTACATATCTTAATATAAAAGATAATTGATCAATATGCGATATATCGGGAGTTGAATCAACGCTAATTGAAAAATATTTGGCTTTCTTTACTTCTGTAATAATTTGTGCACGCACTTCTGTTGCCATCAATTGTACAAATTCATTGCACGTTTGAAAAGAAAGATAAGAGACTACCCCGCGACCTGCATTTCCATATTTTTTTATATGGTTAGCTAAAAATGGATCAAATTCCGCTATAAGTTCAATTGCCATCATGTAGTTACCATTATGAAGTGACCCAAATTTTTCATCCTTGCCTCGAAAAGCAAGTCCTCTACTCGAAAGTTTTTTCACAACTGACACAACTCTTTTCAATACATTTGTCCAATAATTTATTTCTTCTTGCAATTGAAATTCTAAATCAGCATCAATTCTCTCAGAAATCTTACTTCTTTTTAGCATTTTAAGTTCACATGTTTTGTGCTCAGTTGAATTTTCATGTTCGCGCATTCGAACGAAGACATTTTTCCAGTCATTGTAACCATTCGTTGCCAGACTGGAGGTTCCTCCAAATAATCTACACGGGGCACAGAACACAACTCCCTTGCTTTCTGAATATATAAGATATTTTCTAGGCATTATCTCACCATTTAGAAGACGCCGCTCAAAAACATTTTTTGTTAAAGTACGACTTATATTACCATAATATCTTTTAGAATTCCCAAAATCGACATCTATATTTTGTTGAATATT